GCGCTTAGTAAATGCGCTGGAAAGGGAATCTACGAGAATTCTACTTTTGCAGTTCTTTTCCCAAGTGAACCACAATATTTATCCGTGAAATCTCTATCAAAAGAAGAAACCAGTAAGAAGAAGGCGCTGTAGAAATAAACAGTGCTGACGTGCACTACGACAGCGCAATTCAGTTGACGAGAAAGTGCTCCGGTAGGCTGGTGTCAGAGTCCGCGATTCGTCGCGCGATTCGCGCGATCGCAAAAATCGCAAGTGCCCCATTTGAACATTTGAAACACTGAATATGAAACAAGTAGAATCATGAACAGTCGTCATTCAACCATCACCATCAAGCAGAAATGGGAGAGCACCTCGCAGTATTGATCGGGGCACTTGTGATTTCCGTGATCCGTCGCGCGACGGATCGCAGACTCTGACACCAGCCGTATTTGATACGAACTAGCTGAAAATCCGTGAGCCGCATTCTGGATCTTCTCATCCACACGACGGGAACCATCGCGATTTTTAAGTAGAAGAAAAAGCAGATGAGCAGTAAAGGAAAGGCGAGTGAGACCCAGGCGTACCAATGGCTAGACCGTTGCATACTAGCAACTGGAGCGGCACCCAGTGGCGCCATTAACAAGGTCTAGCGATCTTGTAGCGCACATTTAAGACTTAAAACGGCACCTAATCGACATTCGTGAACGGCATTATCGTAGTAATGGGAAGGACTGAGTCTACTCGGATCCAATGTGAGATTTGCTTTTCAATATTGCTCTATATACCCTCCTTTCAAAAAACGAGAAGAGCGTCGGGTGCAGACCATACACCACAAGTGACGACGGCCTCCAAGTAAATCTGGTTAGTAGTGGTTCATAGTGATAGCTGATTTTTGGTAAATGATAGTTGTAATTAGTGACAACTGATAGAATACAACTGCAACAGGCTAATCATTTCATTGGCAGAAAACATTTACATTTTGTGGAGGCCGTCGTCACTTGTGGTGTATGGTCTGCACCCGACGCTCTTCTCGTTTTTTAAAAGGAGTATAAACGTGGCGCCAAGGTGACCCTAACACGAATATTTTGATCTGGCTTGAATTTGTCGCTTTTATATGGCCCATTCGCTTTGGACTGTAACTTTGAGCGCTATGATGGTGATCAATTCAAGTCGCGCACGCAATTTATGTCGCAAGGCCCTCTCTTCGTTCCCCTTCACTTGAATATTTGTTCAATTTTTGCACAAAAAGAAAACAATCCGTACTTGCTCGCCTGCAGAATCAATTTGATAGCCTTCTCCTTGAGCTCACAAATAATTGGTGTGTTCCAATTTTTCGAACTAAAAAAATAAAAATAAATAATACAAAATAATTCTCACTAGTTATTCTTCCAAGCATCATGTTGAAGACAGATTCGAATACTTCAAAAATAATTAGCGAAATCACCTATAGATATACAATGTTTGAGTAGCTGACGACCACTCAGTTGTGGTCATACGCAAGCACGATCGCGGGTTTCCAGCTGTTCACGGGCCAATTCGACGCTCAAATCTCTCACTTCCAGAAGATTCCTTTTTATTTGCACAACTTCCACGCTTCCACAGGTTTCTGTGCTGGAATACTCATTATTACAATTGTTTTCGCCTGGAATTCCGTAATGAGCCCGCGCTGCGTAGGCGGTACTCGACAGTAGGCCCGTCGCGCGGCGAGAAGGCAGAGACGCAGGAGTGGACGAGTCGCAGCGCGTGATGTGCGATGTAGGACGTACAATGGACATTCTATTTAACTTGACGCGAAATCACTACAGTACGCGCTGCAACTCGTCCGCTGACCCGTCTGCGTCTCTGCCTTCTTGCCGCGCGACGGGCCTCCTGTCGGGTACTCGTAAAGACGGTTGCTATCAGGTGGTTGCTTTCGATAACCAATCAGAACAACAGCAATGGAGAATGCTCTCCGTATTTCCTCAGAGCTCACCTTTCTATGATCTGAGCATGAATTACTTGGCCACTGCCACTGCCGCCAACTAATTGCGTTGAGTCGTCAAACCAGCACAAAGATAGCAGCGATCCAGTTGAGAGTTTTTCAAGTGAATGGGACCACTGAAAACATCTCAATCACAGCACTATGGGGATTACCAGCCGTAGTAAAGGCCATAGGTAACGTACCCCTGCTTTATCGCACAGTAGAAGAATATTGTAGGTACCAACGACAAAGCATTGACCATCAGGGCTCCAAGCCACAGAGGAAATCGGATAATCGTGGGAAATTGAAATGAAGAGGTTACGACCGAAGCTGTCCCACAACTGAAGGAAACTCATATAAATTCATCATCACGTTTCTTTGATTAGAAAATAGTATAATATGTGTATTTGGCACGTGGAACTATGGTTAAATCATACTGGCAAATTTAGCACCCTTTTCTACCCAAAGACTCTCCACGATCATAAAGCGCGAATAGCTAGCGCGAATGTGAACGTAGAACTGTTTTGGTGAAGCTCACCTGCAAACACCGCAAAATAAGGACCTCTGCTTGGGCGGGTAAGGAGTTAGTGAGACTTAAAAGACCCTGTGAGAGGCTGCTTGCATCCATGTGAAAGAACGGACATCGGACACGGACGAGAGAGCATTTGATAAATGCGAGACACAGCGTAGGTCGTTTCAGGAAGTCCGAGGTCCATTCATCGCGCGGCGAAAAGGCAGAGACGCAGACAGATCAGCGAACGAGTCACAGCGTGACAATGAAGGGACGAACTATCTTCGTTCTGTTCATCTTGACATAAATCACTTACAGATGACAGGCGACTTGTCCACCCATCGTTCATGAGGGGCAAATGTTCTAATTCACAAAACCGCCTCTGTCTAGGCAGGTTGGTCGAACTCTGAATCAATGGCAAACATTTCCGTTTCATTTCTATGAGTGCTTATATTTCTCTGATCATTGCAGCACCTAAAGGACGAATTCACGATCAGAGGGAAAATCGAATTAGGAAGAATTCACCTGGTTGAGGGACCCGCGGAGCTCCTAAGTGTGCGAACTGAAGCACAATTTGCACAGGAGGAGTTGACCTCGTTGACCTATTAAGGTTTAATCCCGCCGCGGCTGGTCAGTGCACGCCCACCGATCATCTGATCACTCGCCGCAGGTCTATACGTGGTGAGTGATTAGATAGGTGAGAGAGCGTAGCGTTGAAGAGGGCACAGCGATGATAGTCGCATCAATGCTCAAATCAACGGGCAATGAAGGGGTCCCATTTCTCGGGTTCTGGGCCGTTTCTCATGGTATTTCCTTCTTTGGTGTACCACTCACCATCGCTAAGGTAATTTGAAATGGGTTGCCTTTCCAGCGTGAATTCGTCCTTAAGATTTTAAGATTCTTCGAAATGAGATTATCGCGGCCACTGCCTTTAAGTATAAAAAGTGTGGCAGCCCTCACTTTGAATTTGCAGTCTTCGCCTCCAGTGACCATATACTCCGATGCCTTGGACCAATCACAGCATAACACAATGCCGTCGTGTGCTTTCCATTTCAGTGGAGTCGCCTAGATAATGTATCTGTGAAAATTCGAGATTCCAAGATGTAGTCAATGAGTTAATTATTACAGCAGGGGTCTCATGCAGTAAGGGGAGAAAGAGGGGGCATTGCAGCATAGAGCGCTCAATGCATTCAAGATCACGAGAATATCCTTTCACTGTAAACGTTCAGGACAACCATAACCCTCAGGAGAAGTGGGATAGCCCCGGGATCCGTGAGCAATCTTCGTTTTCTTCAGGGACTCCCTCCCTTCCTAGGCTTAGCCCGACCTGCCCCCTAGGTAACACATTACATTTTTTCATAAACGTTCAGTGTCATCAGAAAAAGAACCACATTATTACACAACAGCCTGAGAATAACGTAGAATCTGAAGCTGGTAGCAGCTCGTAATATGGAAAGGGACTCCTTGCAGCCAATTGGAGCAGAGCAGACTGCTGCACTGCAGTGCCCCCCCTTATGGGAATGAGACTCCAGCAGAAGAAAAAAATAAGGTCAAGAAAGGGAATTTGATAAACTCCAAGCAATCGTGTGTTTTCTCGGCAAGGAACGATAGGCGGGACACACTTCCTGCACACACTGCTTCAGAAAACCAGAAGCGCGTCGAGTGCAGACCACACACCACAAGTGACGACGGCCTCTACAAAATGTATATGTTTGCTGCCCATATAATGATTGGCCTTTTGCAGTTGCATTCTATCAGTTGTCACTAATTACAACTATCATTTACCAAAAATCAGCTATCACTATGAATCACTACTAACCAGATTCACTTGGACGTCGTCACTTGTGGTGTGTGTTCTGCACTCGACGCGCTTCTGTTGCTCTCAGCAGAGGGTATCTCTTACCTGGGACTTCAAGGATCTTATGTAACAATGATCATAATTCGGGAAAACAACGTAATTCGAAGTCGAATCGAACGAACAGCTGGAAGGAGAATATTATGTGCCGAATTTATTTCGAAGAAAATTAATCAGGTCCGGAAATAATATTTGTTAAATCCTATTGAAAGAACCTAATGACTTCATGAGATTTTTTTGGTACGTTATAGTACGTAGGTATAATTCGAAAGGTTAACGAATTAGGGGTAGGAGTCTCTTCCAGGATTGACAGCTTAACTTCTTTCTTCAGAGGCAGTCATGAAAAGGCCTTATTTATTGGCCCTGCCATTTTCCCTGAACTGTCTGCCAATATTCTTATAAGGGATTATGCGCTTGGATCACAAAATGATGAGAGGGGATTCACAAAATGTCCTTTGTGGGGTCCCGAGCTTCACAAAGAAGTGCTTCCATCGAACATCCATTTAAAATGAGGGGCGAAGGTCGGAGAAGAGAAACGTATGGTAGTGGAGAACAGGGCGTGCCTCCTAAGGGTGCTGGTCCGACAGGTACTCGCATCAGGCATTCATATGGACATATGTCCCCAACGATCTAGCATGGCCTCCCCGCAGCCCAATTGGCTATTGGCCCGGTACGCTTCCCTCTCGCGCCACCTCGTGTCTGAGTCTCTAGCCGTTCAGCAGAGAGAGCGTTAGCGTTGAAGAGGGCAGCACCGATGAGAGTCGCATCAATGCGCAAATCAACGGGCAAGGAAGGGGTCCCATTTCTCGGGTTCTAGGCCATTTCTTCTCGGTTCTTTCTTCTTTCGTGCATCACTGACCATCCCAACATAATCTCCTATGGGCTGCCTTTTCATCGTAAAATCCGCCTTCAATGAAGAAAAAGAACCAACCAGTGTACAGGATGTGGCATCTGAGCAATTACTGACCGAAGCATTCCATTTCGAGACCACAATTTCACAGTACCATCCTCTCCACCTGCACAAAGCATAAGTTTAGAATAAAAACGTAATACTGATCCGCTAACGATTTTTAATACACAACTTTGAAAACTGGTCGAAAGAAAATCTTTGCTAGTTTGGAGTTTCCATGAAAAATTGAAAAGATCTGGACCAAAGTCAAGGTTCATCAGTTTTGATAGGCTCAACTACCGTTCTCAGGGATGACGTCATCACTGCTTCACTTTTGTAACATTCAGGGATAAAATGTTTGGAACTGATGTCGAAAGGTTCGTTTGATAGTGGCATTCAAAGGCTATGGCCTCAACTGTAAGTCACAAATACTACATATTACCGTGGGACGAGTGGGAGTCGTATATATCATACCTAATATTTCACGGGAACATGTAAAAAGGGATTTCTTTAAGAGCGAGAATGATTTTCTGAGGAATCTGACAAAATTTGACGTTTCAACAGTTATATGTACCACTCCTTTTTAAGGCATTGACATGGTCGGAAGACCAAGTTGAGTCAGATTCAACTACACCATTGACACTATCCGAGCGAAGTGGAGTTGGGAGGGCTTGTAGGGGAGGAGGGGGGGGGCAAAAAAAGGTGTGACTCCCTTCCACTTTTTTTCCCTTTTGGAAGGTAAATTTAAATTTAAATTTAAAATTATTTATTTATTTTTTTTTTTTTTTTTACATTACATTTATTTGTTTTATATCTTATATTTATTTTATATTTATAATTTTAATTTTAATTTAAAATCACACTTCGCTGAAATCCAATCGAATTATCTTAACGGTGAAGAGCACATTCCAATTTATCAGAAAAAAAAAACACTCCATAAGAGCCTTATGCTGGACGAGACAAGAGAGCTTTCCCTTGGAAACATAGTGCACAATTCAGGCTCAACGAAGCCCTCGACGGTTCGTGGAGCATTACGGCCCTATCTGAAACGCTGGTCAGCGGTGGTCGTGCAAGTCAAAGCTATTACCTCTAGGGAAGATATTACCGAGGGTGAAACTCCAGTTCGGGGGGGCCACTCCATTGCTATCTTATCCGTAGTACTAGAGAGCAGTTCTTTGGGCTATCGAACACTACGGATAAGATAATAAGTGAACGACTCATTTCGAGCGTACTTTTGATAAGGACCGGTGGATGTCCTACATTCCACACTACCTGCCCACATCCCATCCACTTTTCTGCACAGGTGATCCACCCTGGAGCTCCTGCACCCTTAGCCCTTTGCGGAGGTGTCCTTTCTCCTGGTCCAGGACCGTTCCCTTGGGTCATGGCAGGCGGAAATGTGAAAACGTTTCAGGGTTTCTCACCCATTACACCAATATTTATCAGAAGTCTACTTTAAATGAGTCGATTACGTGTCGTGAGCCCTCTAATCCTTATCTTGAGTATTGGAGAAAAAATGGAGTGGCCCCCCCGAACTGGAGTTTCACCGTGAAACGATTGAAGAAATTATGTAGCAGCTTCAGGCTGGAGCTATTACTTTAAGCTTTCTTGTGTTCGACGGTGATGACAGATGACGTCATCTCGTGAAGACGGTAAGGGTAGTGAAGGTGAGACTGATTTCATGACGTGACATCTAAGAAATATTTTTAAAGGCAAAGTTCGGGCTCAGACCCACTTAATAAGCCCTTATAGTGGCTAGAAGTGCGTGGGACGCAACTGCAGAAGGCGCGCCACGTTCCTGCATCGAAACGCGTCACTAAGACGCTAGACGCTAAGGATTTTGACACGCTCCACCTGTGCGACACGCTCCGCCCACCGCTCGATATCTTGTCTGCGTCGCAATGCTGATCTGCTATGCTCTCTCTACTCGGACTTCTCTAGCGCTCTCCGCGCTCACATTATCTCTCATCTCCCTGCCGGCCTTTTGAACTTCTCCGCAGCGTAGAGCAAAAGGCTCGTATTTCCTGTGTATTTCACGATTTTTTTTTCCTTTTTTCTCCACTGGCGGTCCACTTCCCACCCCTACTTCACATTTGAGTAGAATTAACCTCATCAATTTAGTCCTGAATCTTGCCTTTAAATCTAAAACTACTAATATTTGAAAACTTCGCATTCAACGGGGGGACCCTTGTCGACAAAAGTTGGCTAATTGTGCGTCAGGGACAAATGGCTCCTTTTCTACTTCGGTTGTGTAAGGGTTTACGGACTACTTGCACTTTCGTCCATGGTCCTGCCACGAATGGCGGAGAGCACAGACGATCAGAGAATGGCGCCTGGCTCGGCTCCAAATCCCAAGGAGGGAGGTGAGAGCCTTAGGACTAAGCCTTGTAAGGGGGAGGGAATCCGAGGTGGGTGAGCCAATTGCATTGTGGCAAAAGTTTGAATGTGTGAGATCGCAGTGGTGATCAGCCGCTGATAAGATGAGAGAGCGCAGACGAAAGCGTCGAGTGAGGCAGCTTAAAGGGCCGAGTTCAAGTAGTCCGTCGTGACAGCCCTCTGGTGTTACGGAATGGCACGGCCCGTACTAGAATAGGAACCGCATTTCTTCACGTGTATCACCGCCCGTCAGCCGGATCGTGTACTGTCACCAGGTCTAACATATAGAGCATGTGAAACAGTAACAATTCAGGAATACATATTAATTCCTGAAACAGCATTCTGGAACACGTACAACTGATCTCGCCCCCCCCCCACACGACTCTCCACGCCTGTCGAAGGTCTTTCTCGAGCTCTTTGAAGGCTAATAATGATGACTCCAAATTGGGTTTCCAGTTCTCGAATTTCACATCTGATGAGGGCGGAAGTGGTGTAGTGACAAGTGGCACGCTTACCACGCGAGCGGTCCGGGGATCAAATCCTGGGTCGTGAGTCGCCCGGGCCAACCAAGCCTTCCATCCCCCGGGGTCGGTTAATTGGTACCAGACTTGTCTGGGAGGATAAAAACACTGACTTGTACATCGGCTGGCCCCCGCAAGTCATTGTATAGGCCACATCGCATTCAAACGCCACTACGAATGTACAAATGGAAGTAGAATGCGTGCCGCATCCCAAAAGGGGATTGATCAACGGCAAATGCTTTATCCTTTTTACTTTAACATATTCTGACGATGCTAGGAGTAACCCTATACACGCAAGTGCAGAGGGGAATCCGGAGTGCCGAACTACGCCAACGATCGAAGATCAGGGACGCTGCCGTTTTCGCCAAGGAATCGAAGATAAGGTGGGCCGGACACGTCATGCGATTTTGCGATGACCGTTGGACCAGAGCGGTTACCGACTGGATCCCTCGGGACGTCAAACGAACACCTGGACGACCGCCGGCCCGATGGTCAGACTTCTTCACGCGAAAGCTCTGACGTAAGGATGAAAGCTTCCTGTCTCCAACGAGAGTGACCCACTAAAGCACCCTTGGCAGCGCGGACAGGACGAATGTGGACGTTGCTGCGACCACTCGAGCAAATCGACGATCAACGGGACTGCAGGTGACAGGTGATACATTCTTGATAAGCTAAACTTGTTTTCCTCCAAATTCGGGGATTTTTTCTGGGGCCTTTTTTGGATAGGATGCTCGAGTGCGGGATAGATTGCGGAAACTCTCTGCGGAGAACTTTTACTGGTTCTTAAATGGGAGTTCAAGCGTGTAGCGGCAGGTGGGGCTCAATCGCAGTGCACGTCGGACAACCGTTACATTAAAAAAAGCTTCGGTCTTTAATTCACATTCAGCGTTTTCTCAGGCGAATTTCCCACTTGTGTGACTTTGTCTCCTCTCTCACCTCCTTGCTCTCCCCCCCCCTCCGGTCTCTCTCCCTAACTCTCCATTGTAATGATAATGATAAATGTCTGATAATTTCCCTAAAACTATTTCACTTTCAGCAAGGTTTTTATGCAATTGTGGCTTGTTCTAATTGTGCTTTGATATTTTTTCCTTCGCTGGGAAATTTTCACCGCCTCTCAGCTGTCCCGCTCACTGCTTTCCAAGATCAAAACTGACCTACTAAAGCGTGAAGGAACTGGAACGGTGCATGGCTTCGAGTGTGAATAGTGCAATGTTGCGCACAGATGGGCCATATCGGCACCTCCTCGGCTACTGGAATGAGTCTGCGGCGAGCAGAATCGGGAACTTTCCCTCCACGTTTCTGCTGTAAAGGATTTAGGAGCACTGAAAGCACATCCTCGACCGTCGGCTAACACTGGTCCTAGTCCCCTGGTGCCGTTAAGCCCTTGTATCCGACAGGAGGCTCGCATCGCGGCGAGAAGGCAGAGACGCAGACGTCAATGGACGAGTCGGAGCGTGAATAGTGTAGTGTGGATGACTATCGTACGTCCCCAATTAAACTTAAAATTAAATCGCCCCAGCACGCGCTGCGACTCGCCTGCTGTCCTGTCTACGTCTCTGCCTTCTCGCCGTGCGACGGGCCTCCTGTCGAATACCCGTCGTGCCCACTGAATTCCAACGTTTCAACGTTAGGACCGCATGCAATATTAGGTCCGCAATCACGCCCGGAAGGGCTACGAGATATTGGGCGTAAATTGCTTGACAAAAACTCAACAGCTTAGCAGTCCGGTGCCGTCGGCGCTCCAGCGAACCATTAGTGCAGCTCTTTTGGCATTGAGCAGACTTCTCCATTCTAGACCCATTTTGGTTAACAAAAGGGGGGGGGGGGCGGGGGGGGGGGCGGTGGACATTTGTCCTAAATAGGAGCTGATTATTTCGGTACCGAGTGACTGCAATTGGAGTGATCTAAGTTACCATCTGAACTGGATAAGGCGAACACATCGCCGTGAGCATCTTGGCGAACTGACGTCGGGAACCAGTGCATAGAAGTCGCGAAAAGGTACTGCAATGTATTTAATGATTGTTAACACCTTGACGACAGCGCGGCAACTAGGTTTGCCGCGTTTTGCACGCCGCAATGGACATTGTGGCAACTATAGTTGCCACACCCTTTACATTCAGTTTTTTCTTGAACGCGCCATTTCTTCCCAGGTTTTTTGTGTTCATTTTTAGGCCATACCACAACATAACCAAGAACCACGCGGCTTATAGAATGACCAAATATTCTTTAGTTTGGCAGAGGTT